CAAGGTGGAGGTTAAAAAAAGGCTTGCAGCAGCTGAGAAGGACTTGGCTACAGTTTCGTCGAAGTTAGTGGAAATGGCATTGCCTAGACATGCTCGTTCAGCCAGCCGCTCCTTCACTGCGATGTTGCAAGCTTTAAATGGTGCTATTGATGAAATGGCTGCTGATGCTGAGAAGATAGTGGCAGCTGCTTTGGGAGGGGGAAAATGAAAACAAAAACCTGTTTGTGTATGCCAATTCCCGTTTCTACGCAAAGTAACATCACTTTTATGTTTAAGGCTTTTATTTATGGATCAACAGATAGGTATTGAACACTTCGATGTTGTTCGTAGTGAGTATGCATGGCATTAAATTCACATCAGATGTTGTTACCCAGGTAATCCAAACATAAATAAATCCAAATAAATTACACCATAAATTATGTCAAACTGAAATAACACAAGGTATAAATATTGAACATGTGTTCTGAAATTTATTTAGTACATAATAGAATAGCTTTTTTGTAATGACAGTATCAGAATATCTCCCATGTGGGAAAATTAATTACATAATTGAATTTTGAATTTTTGAATCTTTAAGGTGTTCTTCATTTACTTCTTTGATTCCAGTTGAATGATTCTAACAGCTTTTATTTACTTTTATGACACCAATAGGGTTCCTCAAGCTCCATGATTGTCTTGCTGAAAGATCTGCCCTTGTTTCATCTTCAGATTCGTATTGTTCTGTCACATCCGGCACACAGCGTGATGTTCTCACTTTCAGACTTTAGTGTTGGTATGGTGCTTTAGGAGCCCTCTGCAGCGTGCCATGTGCAGTGATATCCAAAATTCAGTTTAATCATATTTATACTCTCAACTGATTAAATTTTCCTAGCATTTCTTTGCTGCCCTGGTCTAATAGCAAACATTAAAAAGCTTCAGCATTTTTTTTGTCTTTGTTCAGCAGTGAAGTCAATATTGAGTGTGCAGAGAGGCATTTACATTTATGTATAATTAAAAGCTTTTATGAAAAACCTTCATTAATTGAAGTTTCTGAACTTCTGGGAGTGAGCTATGGCACGTGGACAACTCTTCTTATTCATATATGTATTTATTTGCTTGTTTGTTTTCATCTTCTGTAACACGATTGTTTCATTCATATTGAAATTGTGTGGTCCTGATGTGGTTCACAGAAAATAATTGACATTTAAAAATATATCTGTATCCAGTGTATCAGTATGTATAAGCCACATAAACATTATTTTCATTGCCTGCAGCTAAACCAAACCAAAATTAACTGGCATAAGGAAGCCAGACTGCTGTGTCAATACTGCTATATGTCAGCTGTTTAATTTCTGTGCAATTTTGCACCATGCATTCAACACTTACTCCATGTGTCTCTTTGTAATTAGGCAGAACTTAAAAACCACTTGAATTAAGTTCATTTGGTTGAAATTAACTATTTGAACTTAATTGGTTCAAATAAGTTCAACTGGTTAAGTTAGATGAAGCAATTAAGTTACCCAATGTTAACTTTGTTTTTGATTTCTGACACATGGTGACTTTGATGCCAACGACCATATTAAAATGTCATCATAAAGAAAAAAAAAAAAACTTTGTGTTAATGTGTTTAATTTTTACATTGCTGTATTGTGTTGGAATAATTTCAAAATAAGCATTTTGATTTCTGTGTGCAAGATCAATCCAAATTCTATTAAAGACTCACAAAATAAACATATATTGCTTTGTATATGTCACTGTAGATACTTTGATCACTG